ATGCCCAAACATACACACTGACTAAAATTCAAAAAGTGAAAAAGCATAATATGACCCCTTTAAATCAGCCGCGCCGGGTTCTGATCACCATTCAGGTTGATTCTGCAATAACAACCAAACTGGATGTACAATATCCCTTACTTTCACTGCAGATCTTACGTATAATCAGGGTTGTGTTCCTAAGTTTGAATTGTGTTGGCTAACAAGATACAGAATTCCCATTCACATTTGAATTCAACAAAGTAGAATTAATATTGGAATGAAATTCAAAGCAGTTCATACCATTTCTGTATGAACATGCAGACAACATGTGGGGCATTTCTGGAAACATTAGGCTATATACATTGAAATGTAAAACATTACATATAAACATTAACATTATATATCTGTAACTTGGAAAGTACCATTAATTTCAAAAAAAAAAAAAAAAGGGGGTAGAGTAAAAGTACTTGTCCAAAAAAAAAGACTAATTTAAAGAACTGATGAATAGTAAGAAGAGAGTACTACTGAGCTGCGATTATACACACTGCACACTGCAATTTAAAAATGTAGAAACACTGTACATACTGTAATTCACATGTTTGTCAGAAATATTTTAAATTACTTTAAAATAGTACTATATCCGAGTAAAACTACTTAAGTACCGTGACTATTTGTAATTAGTTACTTCACATCCCGATACACTGTATAAAATATATGGTATAATGTATAGTACATCATGTGGTAAACCACATTGTTTACAGAAAACTTTATGAAATATTATTTTACATTTGTTTTGACAGTTTTAAACTTAGTTTTGAGAAATGTCTCATGAAAAAATGTGTTCTATCCATCAGCAGAAAAATGTATTATTAGTTAAAATTAATGATGGGTTTTGTAAAGTGTGTGTATGACTTTGTTGATTTTTTATTTTTTTTTGGAGTTTTAATTCAGTAAATTTGTCTTTCTGTCTTTCCAAATTAAATTCCAGTGCAACATCTTGTGGGGTGTAACTAATTCAATTAAAACAGCAATATATTTAATTTAAGATGATTATCAAATCTCAGTATATTCCTCACACAAGCCTATCGTATGACTTCAGAACACATGGAATATGGAGTCTTGACTCATATTATGAACTATATACTTTATTGGCGTTTTGATAGTGTTTTTTGGTGTTTGATGAACATAGTCTGTCATTGTATAGAAGCTTAAAAAACGTTTGTTGCTGTGGATATCCGCATATGTGTTTGGAATGACATGAGGTTGAGTACATGAGAGAATGTTCATTTTTCAGTGACATATTGTGTGGCTGTGTCAAAGGCATGCTGATTAATGGTTCATTTACTCTAGTCTGTGAAAGGCCTTTATCACTCTCATTTACACACACACACACACACACACACACTGCAGACAATTTGTCTGAAGCCACTTTGTAAGTGTCCTTATTATGTAGTTGCTTAGCAGCCATAAGCCAGCGGGCCTCAGTGGAGTATTAGTGTGTAATTATCTGCCGTTTGCTCAATGTTTTGACCTTGCCAGTTCGTATAGATTTGCAGCAAACTTCCATGACCTCCGCTAACCAGAAAACCAATGCATGCTATCATCTTCCATTCTCCTGGGACTTGCATGAAATAAGCAATGGCACTAATTTGTACGCAGAATGCATCTGCAATTGACTGACTCTAAATGTTCGTTCAGCCTCACTAAAGTCCCCGTGGGGACGTCTGGAACATATGGAGAGCTGCAGTGATGTGAGGTGTTGAGGGGAGTTTCTTAGCCAATCATTAATCTGAAGTAAGGTTAATGGTTCTTCTTTGATAGAATCAAGGTGTTTTAAGGAGGGCAGGATAAGATTGGAATTCCACAGAAGGCACCATGAAGCCAAAATGGACACTATGTGCTTTCTAATTCACTTTCCTGGGCTAATCCGTCAGTGCATGTTATTCCAAAGAACAACAGGTTTATCATTTTCAAAATGTAAAAACTCTGAATTTACTTTGCTTTCCATTACACCCTATGGGTGGTGATAATGTTAATGTTAATGGTAATGTTTGACAGCCACAAAGTGTCCAAACACTTATTTTTGTGAAATGCTTTGCCTTTGAAATAAGTACCTATATTTCCTTCACATAAATGTCACTTGCTTTTCCCTTTTTGTTATGAACTGCCAAGACATTCATACATTTTAAGTGTCCAAATATTTTTTGGAGCCACTGTGCAGTATATAGGAATTGTATTAGATGACTGTTGTAGTTAATGCAGTAATTCAAAATTCAATGATGGGCAGTGTTAATGTAATTAAGTCAGCTGCAAATAATAATTGCTTCACTGCAATATATCTTTCAAAATAGTTATGTGCAATATGTCATGAAATGTTCATGTTCATCAGGTTCCTCCTATAATGAGAAATCAGAGGGTAAGAAGAAAGGACGCCCTCGCATGGAGGTGCAGGAGCTGCGCATTATTCCCGTGAGTAAAGCAATAAATATCCATTTTGGCCAGTGATGAAGGAACGAGGCTACGCCAGATTGGGATTTTGGGTGATTATTTGTGAAAGGAGTAAAGGGACTTTCCAAAACTATTTCCAACTGTTGTATTTGGAGAAGGAACATCTCACAGAGGGCTGTGTGGAAGTGAATTGATTGCTAATAGTTTCTAATGCCTCTCTTGTGTGCGTGTGTGATGTTTTTTCTCGCCCCAGGCCCATATGATGGTTCAGTGGAAAGAGGAGTTTAAGAGTCGTTCCAGGGTGAAATGTCCATGCTCAGGCTGCTGGTTGGAATTCCCCAGTATTTACGGACTTAAATATCACTATCAGCGATGCCAAGGGGTAAAAACTGAAATCCAGACTACACAGTCATGCGCTGCAAAATCATGAATGCAACCAACACTCGTTTATTAATAGGAATGTATAAAACTACATTCATTTGAAATCAGATAGTGGGTTGCATGAACTCAACTCAAAGTCTTAAGGAGCCCTGTAAATTTAAGTTTGGTTTAGGATCATGTCTGCCAGGCAATTTGAGGTCTAACTGTTATTGTTTTGAAATTTCTTGACATCAGCAAATGTGTTAAAGGGCTAGTTCACCCATAAATTAAAATTCATTAATTACTCACCCTCATGTCGTTTCAATCCTGTAAGACCTTTGTTCATTTTCGGAACACAAATTAAGATATTTTTGATGAAATCCGAGAGCTTTCTGACCCTCCATAGATAGTAACACAACTGATACGTTCAAGGCCCAGAAAGGTAGCAAAGACATCGTTAAAATAGTCCATGTGACATCATGGGCTCAACTGTAATGTTATGAAGCTACGCGAATACTTTTTCTGCGCGAAGAAAACAAAAATAATGATTTTATTCAACAATTTCTTGTCTTCTGTGTCAGTCTTCGATGCGCTTTCACGAGAGTACCACGACTCAGAAAGCTCTCGGAATTCATCGAAAATATCTTAATTTGCTCTGAAGATGAACGAAGGTCTTACGGGTTTGGAACGACATGAGGGAGAGTAATTAATGACAGAATTTTCACTTTTGGGTGAACTAACCCTTTAAGCGGTATTTTGGTGACTATTAAATAGAATGAATTTAGAGACACAACTTTGGTGCTAAGCACAACACGCTAAAATCTAAAATATTTTTAATAATAATATGTATATTAATACATATTTTGTTTATAACAAATAAATAATAACTACCATTCAATAGTTTGCAATCAGTTCGATTCCAGTCTTCAGTGTCACATGATCCTTCAGAAATCATTCTGATATACTGATTTGCTGCTCAAGAAACATTTATGATCAATTTTGAAAACAGTTGTGCTGCCTCATATTTTTGTGTAAACATTTTTTAAGATCTTTGATGACTAGAAAGTACAAAAAAAAACAGTATTTATTCAAAATATAAATCTTTTGTAACATTACAAATGTCCTTTCCATCACTTTTGATCCATAACATAATCCATAATATAATATATCAATTTTATATAATATAATATAATTCATATAATTAATAATATAATATAATATGAAGTCAAACTACTTGACCTCACTAGTTGATGACTAGCCAACCAGTCAGTCATCTTGACCTATACCTATTTTAGTAATACTATGCTTAAAGGAACAATATGTAAGATTTTTGTAATAAAATATCCCAAAACCACTTGCACAGTGCGATATATTTCATGCAGTTGTGTATTTACATTATTCCAAAATTTCCTAAGCATTTGTAAATCCAGAGAAATTACAATTTAAAAAAATGGCTCGTCCCTGTTCCTCCCTGGTCATTGTTGCCTATCAATGACGTAATATCCGCGCTATCCTCGGTTTTCGCTTGTAGAAACTACAAGCGTGGACAAAAATGCCGCAACACAGTTCAAGTAAATCCATTACGGCTGAAATGAAAAGTGTTGACTGCAGCATCAAATGTAGATCTGCTCAATGTCGCATCATGAGTCTTTTTCCGCGTTTTTACAGTGTTGCGCATTATAACCAATCACACACGAGTCTGTTGAGCTTATGAATGCAATGGCCAATCAGAGCCGTTCAGATGAGTCATCGCTGAAACGCCGGAGTTTTGTTATTGAGTGTGCGCGCTTCGCTGACTGAATTCTGCTCTCTCGCGAATTCTCTCATCATAAACTACAAAGTGCAGATGTATGTATGATGTAAGTAAGCGATTCATTCATCAAACAGTATATAGACAGCTTTACTGATTATAAGGGGAGTTTTTTGAGAGTGCTCAAACTCACGTCATTATGTTCTTTGACAATGTAAATGTTCTTTGCTCTCTTTCGCTGTATAATTTATTCACTGTTTAAATAACTGTGTAAGGTACAGGTAATAAAACCATTAATTCATTACCTCACCCGTGAAAATTATTCGTGAATTAAATACATCTCTGAATGGTGAAAACGACATCTCTCATCGTTCCACTCTCCTTCATAGTGTCATCAAGCTTCGCCTTTGTTATTGTTTTGAACATGCGTCCCTCTAGCGGTGAAAACTTACATATTGTGCCTTTAAGTAAAGTTGCCATCAGCTGTAACAACTAGTCAAATGAAACTTTGTAAAGACCCACTATCTTTTTTTTTTGCTTAGATCTGAGACCTGTGGAACTTGACCTGTCTTTGTGTGTGTCTGTTTGTGTGGCGTTCAGGCGACCATAGCAGAGAAGCTGAGTCACAGATGCCCGTACTGTGAGGCTGTGTTTGCCACCAAGGTGCGTCTTCAGAAGCACAAGCTGTGGAACCACCCAGAAAGGGTCACCATGGAGACCAAGTCCGGGGTCACCTTGGACGCCAAATCCGATCACAAGTCCGAACCCAAACAACAGAAAAGCCCCGTGAAGCGAAATGCCAAAAAAAGGTGTGAAAGCTCAGTATGCTTTTCCTGACCGTATTCCCACTTATTGGAATATTTTTTAGCGTGATGCATTTTTGGAGCCGTTTTGAATTTCTGACTTTAGTCACACGCAACAAAAATCGCTTCAGGACATGACTTGTTTGCCACACCGCCATCATTAGATTCCAGATGAAGTCCTCTTGTGTTACTATAGTACTGGTCCTCTGTGGATTGACTTTAATAGACTGTGTTCCCTGCGCTCCCTCTCAGGCCCGTGGAGAACAGCCCTCCATCACCCGTATTTATCAAGGTGAAGAAGACCCAGGAGGTGTCTCGGCCCTCACAGAATGGGGAGTGCGCCCCCCAAAGGCCGGACAGGAAACAGCAGCAGGAGACATCCGTAGACACTGGGGGCAGTGAGAGCGAGGGGGGCAGTCTACCCCCACCCTTCCCTGAGGAGGACCCTGAGAGAATGAAGCACAGTAAGAATGCTACACACTGAGATTAATGCTGCGCACATCAGCTTTTGAAACACCTGTCCATGGTAATACCGTGATATTGTTTGACGTGCCATATGCCAGGGCCGTCCTTAGCTGATCACATTCCGGGGGGGGGCCTCAAGCGTGGGCTTGCACGCTTGAGGCCCCCTAAGGACCCCCCTAAGGACGGCCCTGCCATATGCAATACTATAATGCTAATCATTCATGATACCACTACAGTACAATTTTGGCCTGCTGCAACTATTATTGCAGATCTTTGCAAAGTTCAAATAGTTTTTTGTTCATCAAAATGTATCTTTTTAATTTCTTTACAAAGAAGTTCTATATACGGTACTATGTATGTGTAAAAATGTATAATAAATAGTTTTTTAAATAATTTTAAAATCAATTTAAAATAATACATGTACAATTAATACAAGTACAATTATACATGCAAATATAAGATTATAAATTTACATACATTTTCAAATTGAAATTAAATTTAACATTTATTATTCATAATTTTTTTTCAATTGTATAATTTTTTTGTTGTTGTTTTCAGTGAAAATGTGGGCAAAGTTCTTTCCAAAAAATGAAAAAGAGAAACACTTTATTACTGTGTATGTGAAGATTAAAAATTAAACAATTTTAAATTAAATATTAAATAATACATGTAAAAAAGGATATATTTAACATTATACATGTAAATATAAAATTATGAATTTAAATTCAGTATAACAGTTTACATTCTTTAAGTTCTTTACAAAAAAGTTCTATGCTGTGTATGTGTAAAAGTGCATAATAATGTTTAAATAATTTTAAAATAAAAGTTAACGCATGTAAAATTAATACATGTACAATTATAAATGTAAATATAAGATGATAAATTTAAATTAAATGTTGAAATTTGAATTCAATTTAATATTTTTTATTTATATTTTTAATTTATAAATTTACAAAAAAGTAAATAAACTACAAAAATGTACAAAATATTTACAAAAATGTAATTAATTTAAAATTAAATTTTAAATACCACATGTAAAAAAGAATACATTGAACGTTATACATATAAATATAAAATTATGAATTTAAATTCAGTGTAACCGTTTTTATTTTATAATTCTTTGTATTGTTGCCACTTGCCATTGAAAAGTTCTTTACAAAAAAATATGCTATGTATGTGCAAAAATACATAATAAATAATGTTTTTAAATAGTTTTAAAAATAAATAAGTAATAAATGTAAAAAATAATACATTTAAAATTATATATGCAAATATGAAATTACAGTTTTTTTGCGGATAAAATATGGACATTGGTGGAAAAATGTAGGGAATCTGAACTACTGGTCAGATTTCAAATAGTCAATTGCCATTCATTTGATTGAATTGGGTGTTAGAAGTCATTCACCCCGGTGCATCCAAATAATTTTTCACATTTGCACAAAGTAATTTGTATTTTTCTCATAAACGCGGTTTCACTCTGAGCAGTATAACTTGCCTTTGGGTGATTCTGCAAACAGAAGTCATGTTAATAATGCATAACCAGAGGTCCATCATCTAGAAAAGTAGCTCCACCTCAAAAGGAAAGTCCCAGTTCTCTTTACTTTCGGTACTAAAATGTCCAAAGTTCTTAAAATTGCTATAACATTTCTCATTAACACGACCAAGAACGCCCCTCATTGAGTTTTGTAGGAAATGGTGGCCTGGCCCTTTAAGCAGCAGTGTGTAAGTTCTCAGTGTTGGCTCCGTCTGAGGGTTGCTGGTCATTAAGTCTCTCTGGTAGCTGGTGGCGGCTGCTGTCTCTGTCTCTGCTGTTAGAGAGAGAGAGAGAGTGTGTGTGCATCTGTGTGTGTGTTAGAGAGAGGGAGAGTGTGTGTGTGTGTGTGTGTGTGTGTGTGTGTGTGTGTGTGTGTGTCGATGTCTGAAATGTCAGCTGTGTTTGTGTGACACAAGTTGACAATCAACCACGTACACACATACAGAAAACATATCTGCTCTCTGCTCCCATGACTGGTTCATGAAGCTGTGTCAGTTTCTCCAGCATGTGAAACAGCAGGTGCTTTGGTGCACTGAAGTTTGAGCATCATTATGAGACTGTAACTTACAGCAGAAGCTCACGAGTGTTGTTTAGCGCTGCATGTTGTCATGAATGTATGAACCATGAATGCAGCTCTTTGCTGTGTTATTGAGATGTTTGACCTCTTGTTGTTGTTCTTCTCATTTGAGCCAGGGAGGAAGCAGAAAACTCCAAAGAAGTTCACCGGGGAGCAGCCGTCTATTTCAGGAACATTCGGTTTGAAAGGTACCACAAACACACACTCATACACGTTTTATATAACGGCGAAGACCTCCCATGACTTCTCTTGTTCTTAAAGTCTGAATTCTGCAGTCTTAAAGCTACTAAAACTAACTTTAACCCTTTATGTTTTACATTTTATATGTGAAAAGGATTATTTTGTCCCTTTATGAAGCTGTTTTCATTTTTGTCCCTGCAGTGAGTTAGTAAACTCACTCTTCCTATCCTCACATCTGTTCTTCTAGCCAGTAAATTACATTTTTTATTAAGGGCCAATATTTGCCCTCTGGATTTGATTTTGATTTTGGATTTATTAGGGCACATTTTTGTATCCATAAAACTAAACACAGTGTGCTGTCCATATGTATAAAACTGAATCAGTCAGTGAAGTAGTATGGCAGTTAAAACCAAACAAATCAATTAACATCAAATAGAGGGAAATCTGTAAATATTTAATTTATATTATACATTTTAATATTTAACAGTATTGGTAAATGACTAAATAGTAAACATACTGCTGGGACACACAGAGCGCAGAAATGCAAACCACTGAGCCTTGAGGTGGAGCTGCACCGCAAAGCCCAGTGAGTCCAGAGGTGGAGCTGCACCGCAAAGCCCAGTGAGTCCAGAGGTGGAGCTGCACCGCAAAGCCCAGTGAGTCCAGAGGTGGAGCTGCATCTTGGGGCCCACTGAGCCACTAGGGGCTAGTTGGTCATATATTTTTTTAATTCACTTACATAAAAGCGTAGATTAGTCTAAGATGACTTCAAAAATAAGGCTCATCATTAACCTTTGGCTAACTGCTAGTTGGTGAAACTCGTTCTTAAGATACTGTCTTAACATAGAGGCTAAGTTTATGCAACTGGCCGCAGAAGTGCAGCTGCGCCAAAAGGCCCAATGGGACTGTACAGTCATGATAAATGTTTAAATTAGACCTTGCTTCATATTCATATTCTATTCTAAATATTCAGAATTTCTCAATATTTAATGGTTTTGATATTGAACCAGTCCATTTTCCTCGCTCAAAAATGAAGAAGTTCTCCATGGACTTCAGTGTTATTGTTGTTTCAGGTTCTAATCCTATATTTTATCTGATATTTAACTCTTGTAGATCTAGAATAAAGTACAAGTAACTCTTTACAATAAGGTTCTGTTAGTGAACATTAGTTAATGCATAATTAAGAATGAGCTATACATTTGTTACAATGTTTATTAATTGTAATAAAAATATAACTGTTCATTATTATGTTCGCTTAAGTCCATTAACTAATAATAAAAGATACAACTTGCTTTTAATAATGTAATAGTAAACATTAAAATTAACATTAATGAAGATTAATAAACATCTTAGAAGTATTTTACATTATTAGTTCATGTTAACTTTAGTTGTAGTTAAGTAATGATAACAAATGGAACCTTCATCATTTTGAATGACAGCAGAATTTATTACAGAGGCTTTTTTGCTCATATTTCAATTTTTGCTTCATTTTTTGTCACTTTTAGTGTACATTTTTGTTACATTAGTTAATACATTAATTTCTTATTCTGTATGCAGCCAAACTCTTTCATTAAAGGTGGGGTATGTATTTTTCAAAAACGCTTTAGAAAACTGAGTCAGGGCGAGTACCAAAACAAACTTGTAGCCAATCAGCAGTAAGGGGCGTGTCTACTCATGATGCGGAGGAGAGAGCGCTCAGTGCACAGGACGGACATTAGCCGAGCCGAGCGACGACAGAAAGATAGAGATGGCAGATAAAAAACAAAAGAGGAAAACGTCTGTGGAACAAAAGAAGGCTTAGTGTGTGTGTGTGTGTCGATGTCTGAAATGTCAGCTGTGTTTGTGTGACACAAGTTGACAATCAACCACGTACACACATACAGAAAACATATCTGCTCTCTGCTCCCATGACTGGTTCATGAAGCTGTGTCAGTTTCTCCAGCATGTGAAACAGCAGGTGCTTTGGTGCACTGAAGTTTGAGCATCATTATGAGACTGTAACTTACAGCAGAAGCTCACGAGTGTTGTTTAGCGCTGCATGTTGTCATGAATGTATGAACCATGAATGCAGCTCTTTGCTGTGTTATTGAGATGTTTGACCTCTTGTTGTTGTTCTTCTCATTTGAGCCAGGGAGGAAGCAGAAAACTCCAAAGAAGTTCACCGGGGAGCAGCCGTCTATTTCAGGAACATTCGGTTTGAAAGGTACCACAAACACACACTCATACACGTTTTATATAACGGCGAAGACCTCCCATGACTTCTCTTGTTCTTAAAGTCTGAATTCTGCAGTCTTAAAGCTACTAAAACTAACTTTAACCCTTTATGTTTTACATTTTATATGTGAAAAGGATTATTTTGTCCCTTTATGAAGCTGTTTTCATTTTTGTCCCTGCAGTGAGTTAGTAAACTCACTCTTCCTATCCTCACATCTGTTCTTCTAGCCAGTAAATTACATTTTTTATTAAGGGCCAATATTTGCCCTCTGGATTTGATTTTGATTTTGGATTTATTAGGGCACATTTTTGTATCCATAAAACTAAACACAGTGTGCTGTCCATATGTATAAAACTGAATCAGTCAGTGAAGTAGTATGGCAGTTAAAACCAAACAAATCAATTAACATCAAATAGAGGGAAATCTGTAAATATTTAATTTATATTATACATTTTAATATTTAACAGTATTGGTAAATGACTAAATAGTAAACATACTGCTGGGACACACAGAGCGCAGAAATGCAAACCACTGAGCCTTGAGATGGAGCTGCACCGCAAAGCCCAGTGAGTCCAGAGGTGGAGCTGCACCGCAAAGCCCAGTGAGTCCAGAGGTGGAGCTGCATCTTGGGGCCCACTGAGCCACTAGGGGCTAGTTGGTCATATATTTTTTTAATTCACTTACATAAAAGCGTAGATTAGTCTAAGATGACTTCAAAAATAAGGCTCATCATTAACCTTTGGCTAACTGCTAGTTGGTGAAACTCGTTCTTAAGATACTGTCTTAACATAGAGGCTAAGTTTATGCAACTGGCCGCAGAAGTGCAGCTGCGCCAAAAGGCCCAATGGGACTGTACAGTCATGATAAATGTTTAAATTAGACCTTGCTTCATATTCATATTCTATTCTAAATATTCAGAATTTCTCAATATTTAATGGTTTTGATATTGAACCAGTCCATTTTCCTCGCTCAAAAATGAAGAAGTTCTCCATGGACTTCAGTGTTATTGTTGTTTCAGGTTCTAATCCTATATTTTATCTGATATTTAACTCTTGTAGATCTAGAATAAAGTACAAGTAACTCTTTACAATAAGGTTCTGTTAGTGAACATTAGTTAATGCATAATTAAGAATGAGCTATACATTTGTTACAATGTTTATTAATTGTAATAAAAATATAACTGTTCATTATTATGTTCGCTTAAGTCCATTAACTAATAATAAAAGATACAACTTGCTTTTAATAATGTAATAGTAAACATTAAAATTAACATTAATGAAGATTAATAAACATCTTAGAAGTATTTTACATTATTAGTTCATGTTAACTTTAGTTGTAGTTAAGTAATGATAACAAATGGAACCTTCATCATTTTGAATGACAGCAGAATTTATTACAGAGGCTTTTTTGCTCATATTTCAATTTTTGCTTCATTTTTTGTCACTTTTAGTGTACATTTTTGTTACATTAGTTAATACATTAATTTCTTATTCTGTATGCAGCCAAACTCTTTCATTAAAGGTGGGGTATGTATTTTTCAAAAACGCTTTAGAAAACTGAGTCAGGGCGAGTACCAAAACAAACTTGTAGCCAATCAGCAGTAAGGGGCGTGTCTACTCATGATGCGGAGGAGAGAGCGCTCAGTGCACAGGACGGACATTAGCCGAGCCGAGCGACGACAGAAAGATAGAGATGGCAGATAAAAAACAAAAGAGGAAAACGTCTGTGGAACAAAAGAAGGCTTACGATAAGGCAAGAAGTAGGACCCGTGTAAATATCGGATCAGCTTTCCAGCGCTGGAAAGAACTCAAGGAGCGGAAGGCCTGCGATCAGACGCCGAGGTTGCTTTGTTTCTTCTAAATAGGTGAGTAACACCGTGTCTACACCGCCGCGCCGCAACAGCTAAAGTCTGTCTACACTGAATGCGATAAAGCGACCGTTGAAAATCATTTGAAATTTGTGTCAATGCGTCATAAATAGAACGCAGCAGCTGTTTTCTGTCGGGGATTTGTCGTGTTGCTGGGGTAGGGGCGTGTTTGTTTTGGTGATTTGAAATATCAACATTGGCTACCAGAAATAACTAACCCCACCTTTAAAGGGAACTAAAGTACAGGAAGTCTCTCTTTAGTGATCTACTAGATTGCCATGACCCTTTTTTTTTACTAACTGCCTCACAGTGGTGTTTCTAGGAACATGAGGAATATTCTAAAAGCAACTCATGTAAACACCATAATCATAATATTGGCTTATTTAGAATAAGGTAAATAATTAGATTACTGATGTCCATGTAAACGTAGTCAAAGTTATATCAGAAGTGACTTTCAGAGTTTAGTCTTAGCCTCCATTCAATAAATACACCTTGAGATTTCAGTGGTATGTTTGCCCCTGTATGTTTATAATTAGCAACCATATACTCTTTGATAGTAATTACCCCTGTTGGTGCTAATATGGGGTCTATAGGTCTATTCTAGAAGTGTTTCATTTCCTGTTGAAGTTACAATGGTGCATGTTTAAGAAGCACTGCACCACAAGACTCTTTGACCGCCAAGAGAGTTTGAGAGTCTAATTTCTTCATTTCTCTTTTGTTTGTTCTTTTTTAGTCATACTTTTATTTCTGTGACTTGTGAGGTCTCTGCTTTTCCTGAATGTCATTTGTTATGTGTTGTACAGGAATGAATAAGGTGGAGGAGAAGTTGAAAGCAGGTCGGATGAAGAGGGCGGAAGGGGCTTTGTTCACTGAGGAGTCCCAGAGGAAGCAGTCGGTTCAAGCTCCCACCAGAAAAGAAGCTGCTGTTATTAGTTCAGGTCTCTCTCTCTCTGCTCTCTCTCTGCATGTTTGCATGATAAAATCATCCAGTACATTTGTACTGCCAAAGCAGTGTGAAATAACTCAAATAAAGCAAAATAGTACTAATAATAGCACAAATCAAATAAATAGTTCTATTATGAAATAAAAAATAAAAAAAAATTAATACAGATTAAATAAAATAATTTAAATTAATAAAAATGAAATAATAGTCATTTACTTATTTATTTAAAGTAATTAGTGTCAGCATACTTTTATTCAGAAAATTGATCAAAAGTGACAGTAAAAGTAGTTATAATGTTACAAAAGATGCTGTTCTTTTTAACTTTCTATTCATGAAAGAATCCTGAAAGAAATGTATCATGGTTTCCACAAAATTAATAAGCAAAAACTGTTTTCAGCATTTATAATAATAGGATCATGTGACACTGAAGAGTGGAGTAATGATGCTGAAAAATCAGATTTGCATCACAGGAATAAATTGCATTTTAAAATATATTAAAAGTGAAAACAGCTCTTTTAAATTGTAATAATATTTCAAAAATATTTATTGTATTTTTATTTTATTTTTTTATTGTATTTTTTTATTTTGATTTTTTTATTGTATTTTTTTATTTAGATTTTTTATTGTATTTTTTATCAAATGAATGCAGTCTTAGTAAGCAAAAGAGACTTCTTTCAAAAAAATATCAAAATCTTACTGACCCCAAACTTTCAAATGGTAATGTAATCTTGATTAACCATGTTTTATCTGTTTGTCTCAGTTTCCCCTGCTGAAGCCCAGTGGCAGAACACCATCTCTGAGAGAGGGGAAGTGGTCTGTCCCACCTGCTCTGTCGTCACTCGCAAGACCGTCCACGGACTTAAGAAGCACATGGAGATCTGTCAGAAGGTCAGAAGTCACTCTAAAACTAGTCTCGCGTAGCCAAACCTTCAGACTGACGGCTGAAGGTCTGGAATCCATGGTAGAGGTCTGCTTCCCTAACGGGTCCCGAAATACTTTCGGGTTTCGGGTCGGGTTGGGGTTAATGTTTAATGAATAGCTTCGGGTTCGGGTCGGGCTCGGGTTTATAGCTAAACTAAAACTATATGCAGGCTACGCTGCTTTCATAGATGCACGCACACACATTATTGCACACGACAACACAGCACGGTAACTTTTATTAGTAAAATAGCTT